GAGAGAGAGAGAGAGAGAGAGAAGGGGGGGAACAGAGAAAGAAAGAAGAGAGACAGAGACAAAGCAAGAGGGAGAAATAGAGAAAGAGAGATAAAGTGAGAGAGAGAGGTGGGATAGAGAGAGAGAAAGAGAGAGAGAGAGAGAGAGAGAGAGAGAGAGAGAGAGAGAAAGAGAGAGAGAGGGAGAGAAGGGGGATAAGAGGCAGAGAGAGACAGGGTCCTTAATAGGAAAAGATAAGTAGCAAAGTAGTAGTATTTTTTCTTCAATACACCTGAAATATTTTATCTCCGACCGGGTATCATACTGTCATGTACGTACTCTTTGCCCTTTATAAATACTTCGCTGTGCTGGTGCGCACTTAGGCGAAAAAAATGAAAGGCAAAAGAAGAATTCTGCAAAAGTCGAGTACGTTCATAATCTTCCCCTACTTGCCCTTTATCTGCTTTCAACTAGAGCCAAATGTGAGGCAACGTGGTGGAATCAGGCTCTCGTCAATTTTTGGGCATGTAGAGTTATTGGTATCACCTGAAAGCTTATTCATTTGTCTTGCTTTCAATGAAAAAAATATCCATCTAGCTTGAATAGAAGTCGAGATATTTGCGATTGAAGAAGGTGGGCTAGTCTGGTTTCAGTGGTTAAATTAATGAGAAAATGGCTGCCAAAGTTTGGCAACTTCAATAGCTTTAGAGTCCTCGAAAACTGAAAATAACATATTGTATGCCTCTAAACAGAGGTTTTCAGACACATTCACAAGAAAATGTGTTTTCATACAAACATAGAAGGTGTTTCCAAAAAAAAAAAAAAAAATTCGATAAAAATTACCAAATTGTGGAAAAATGCCTTTTTCTCTGATTTCATTATTTTGACGAGTGCCTGATTTCACCACGATGCCTTACAAATGGTAAGCTCATGGAGAACCGGAATTACATAAGAGTGCACAGTTTTGGATACTGTAAGTCTGTGGTTTCTTCACAGAATATCCATTAATGGCTATTTATGAAGCACAAAGAAATATAATATTATACTGGAATTTGCTAAACACGGCAACCTTAATTCAAACGGATGGGGCCAACTTAATGTTGCCGTAACGCAGCCAACGTTTCCATGACGACGCTCCAAGATGCCAGACTTTGACTATGAGGCTCTCCAGACACTACTAAATCTTTCTCAATTTTAAAATGCACTATCGCTCTTAAAAATTTAAAAGGTGCTTAACGTTTCTATGCTTTTTTTTTTGCAAGGGGTGAAAGGGGGAAGATTGGGGGGGGGTGTGGTTGTTTGCTCTTGTTTGTTTTCCTTTTTTGGGGTGAGACAGGGTTTGACATGTTTTATGCGATCTATTTCATTGATGATAAAAGTAAAAGAAAGCATGTGCGTCAGGATAATTTTCGAAGATCTTTTTAAAGCAGGAACACTGTAAACCTATCCCTTTTTTCTGTGTTTTCATCCGTTTTGAGCCTTCCTATCGATTAAAACTCAGTCATGATTTATCTCCTTGCAACGTCGTGAAAGAATTATCTCAGATTTCATTCTTTCCCAAAAATAAATCATCCAAAAAAGCCCACTAAACGGAAATATCAGTCCTATGCTCTAATCTTTATAGAATAATGATAATAATAAATGATAGCATTTATACTGCGCATTTCCATTTTCTGAAAAAAGCTCAGTGTGCATTACAGAGAAAGAGATAATGTCACATTTTAAGCTTATTTAGAAAGTGTAGACATAACATATGATAGTGCCCTTGTCACAAGCAATCCACTTAAGTCCAAATTTTGAGAATTTTCACTTTTTTTCCTATCAAAACTGCACCTTTAAACATCTCCATACAGTTTGATCTGTTGTGTTTTTTATAATTCCTGATAGGAACAACACATTAAAAATTAGTTGTTTTTTATCACTAGTATAAAAAAAAAGTACCAAAACTGACTTAAGTGGATGGTTTGCGACTCCGACGATATCATTTCATAATTCCTAAGTTAAGTTCATATTTCCTTCACCTTCTCTGTAGCTCCTTTATCCGGACCATCATGTTGAGATGTCCTTGTGAATACTGCTCTATAACGTCCCTCACATCGTACGGTTTTCTCGCTTGCTGTGGACACATTATCAAAATATTATAGTCACAGGTTTGTCTAAAAGCACCCAAAACACAGTTTGTATAGTAATTTTCAATAACGTATAACGTTCGGTGGAGGAAGCAACAGCTTTCAAAAGTATTATACCCTCTAAAAATGTGTCCTTTCATAGCTCATTCATATATCAAAGATATAAAGTAACATTTTGCATTTATTATCGTTTAACAAATCTGAAATATTTTATCCTTCAGTTTCACATCAAACCAATATTAGGTACTAGGATCATGTATAAGGTGTATACATCCTCTCGCTCTTTGATAGAAATACGCTGACCATCTCACATCAATGCAAACGAGAGATAGTGATTGAGGCCTGGGGAGGGAGGGGTGAGGAGAAGGGCAATGAAAGGACCCATGGTACATCATTAAGCACGCAGATGTCACAGCAACGTTGGTTTTGATGTAATACCTCTGTTTTCTCATTCTTTACGTCATTTCTTTTCGTTAGACTATTCACAAAGCCAAATTTCAAGCCAGCACAAAATAGTATGTCAAGCCCAGTCTTATATTACACCCCCTCCCCCTTTTTTTTCCTCAAGTTCAACACAACCCGAACGTTAAAACTTTTTTCTTGAAAACAAAGCCACCAATCATCCCCAGTACTATAACGTTCCCCGTCCATCACGATTGAAACACGAACCCCAGCCCTTCCGCTACGTCTCCCAAATAACTGGAGCAGCCCCACGATGGTGTTTGTCCACACACGCCATGAGGCCTGGACAGCTCTCCGTTTGTTGACTTGGGCCACAGTACTTAAGAATAATTGATGAGCGATGAAGGATTCAGTGAGAAGACCTCGATAAACACGCGAGATACCAACCAGTTGAGAACAGTGCCAGTGTTTAAGGCGGAGTCGTGGATCGTGTTAGTGTCCGGCAAAACCTGGCCCCGTCTCAAATCTAAAAGACGCGTTCTTGTTTTCCCTTCTATTTCTTTGGAATTGCTATACCATGAGTTTTATTCTAACGAACTGTTCTTGAATTTGGTTTCATTGTTTGACTGTTATATTGTTTTTACTGCATTCCACGAGCGAGATCCAGAAAAATATCTTCCACATGCGGGAAATGGTCTTGTTTCTTTTTCATACCAGAAAGAGAGTCTAATTACTTCACCAAAGATGCCCATGTGGATGAGTAGAGACACAAGATATAAAATAAAACAAATACAATATTTGATAACACAGTATGAAGCTACCTGGAATTTTCGTCTGGATACAAAATATTTTATTTTTCTTATAACCCTGATGGCTGTCTTGTGTGCCTCTGTTAACCTGGGGAGATGAGTGAACGGGGGTGGTGGGGGGGGGGAGATAAAATTATAATCAATAATGACTGTTGCAAATAAGAGGACATTTCAAAATGCATGGGTTTGTACATTCGCACAATCAGAGCCATACACCCTGAAAGAATGTACTGATAAGAAGAAAACAAAACAACTAAGTGTACTGGTAAGACATCCCACGCCATGGATCCTCCAAAGAGGGAAAGTAGTAAGTAATATAATCTTTAAATTGTTCTAGATCCCCCGAATATACTTACATCATATTATGATGACATTTTGAGTTTGCAAAAGATAATTACGTCTTTAATGTTTGTATATCTCATTATGTAGTGTTATGGCTTCAAGGTATAAAGGATATTTTCACCAAAACTGAGTTTTAAAAAGTACTGATCGAAAACAGACCAATTAATTAAGGAGAAATGTAACTTCAGAGCGTCATAAGTGTTTGTTACAACCCAGGACAATTTTTTAAAAGAAAGATTGAAATAAGTAAGACAAATTTTGAATGTCTTCAACCAAAATTTAAGCTTAAACTCAACTAGTTTATATTATTAAACAACGATGTTTTCTGCCTAAATCTTAATCTTAAGCGTTCAGTTGTTGTAAGAGGTTTTTAAAATGCATAATATCATTGACTTGTAGGGACGAGACCCACGAAAAAGCCATAAGAGGGAGAATATATTTTAGCGAAGTAAAATATTACAGACGTCGGGGAGAAAGAGAGAGGGGGGGGAGAGACAGACAGACAGACAGACAGACAGACAGACAGAGACAGTTATACAGAGACGAATAGAGAAATAAAGAAAGAGAGAGAGAGAGA